AAATAAATAAAGCTCTAGGAATCACCACTAACTCTTGCACTCTTTAGGCTGCAGACCATTCCGTTTCTTTTCAATAATTTCAGAGTACTAGGAAGTGCAGATTTTATTATTAAAGCTTCAGAGTGAGATTTTTCAAGGCACTAAAGGATCTGGATCACTAATTCTCAATTAATGGTGCTCTAGTGTGGGATTTTCAAAAGGACTCAGTAATTGGCCTGCTACTGCAACAAGTGAAATAAATAGGAGCCTCAGTGACTACAAGGATAGCAGTTCAATCTTGTGTGGATTTTTCAAAATCCCGCTCAAGATATGCACTAAAAAAAGTGAAGCCAGTTACAAGCAGCACATGAACAATTACTGCTAATGTGCATAGTAAAGTAAAGATCAACTGGTACCTGATTATGAAAACAGCTACTTGACACATACTAACTTGTGGGAAGGCCATACCAGCTAATACACTTAGTACCATATTTAAATGTGATAGGAAAAATATGACTTGAGCCAATAATATAAAAATAAGCTCTAAGGGTTTGCACACATACACTGTGCTGCTGTAGTGCTTCAGTGTGGGCACTACCTACACCCATGAGAGGTGCAGCCTATCAGTACAGGTAATTCATCTCTCTGCAAGTAACCAGGGGTTAAGGTCAATATGGCTACATCTCTCTAATCGATGTGGATCTCTCAGCCCTCAAAAAGCTAAGCTAATCTCTCAAGCTACATCTACACTGTAGGTATGTCAGGAGAGAGTATGCTAATGATGCGCTAATTAGCATTTGTGCGCTGTCATTTGCATATCTCTGCTGATGCTTTTTGTGCAAGATGTTTTTGCACAAAAACAAGCAGTGTAGATGGGTTTGTTTTGCAGTGTAGACAGTAGGGGGAGGAGAGTGCGTATCATCAATAGGATTAACCAGATTTATTGGTTAATCGTTTAATCGGCTATACGTTGACATTCCTAATAAATAAAACTTGATAGTCTCTGCCTAATCACTGACAACTGCTGTAATTAAAATTCTGCCTCTCATAATACATTAAATACTTGCTTCTTTTATAGAAGTCAGTAAACACCACTACCACCACCAGAGGAAACTAATCAGAAGAGGACGTATCCAAATACATGCTTACTGGCTGAAGTTGTGACTAAAAACAAATCGTTTTTAGATACTCTGTTTGCATGAAATGTTATACTTATAAACTTTTACACAGTAAACACACACTTTTCTGGTCATCTAGGAACTATTACAGAAAATACTTGCCACACTTGATTATATTCAATATATATAACCCAAGGTCAGAATGAACACTTTTTCAAATCTAGATATTTGTCTTTTAAAGACATACTTTATTCTAGTTCAATTTTAGCAGGTTGCTGGCTTTAGAATATATCCTTTCAGAGAAAAAGAGGCACATTTCACTAAGCTAAACATCTGGAGATGCATAATATACAACATAGGTTCAACAGACCATGATAAATGTGTTATGATGAACAAATCTGTGTTAAGACCAATGTTTCTTGAAAATTCATTTACATTTCTGAATAAGTGTTCTGAATGGATGTACATTTAATTTTCTGTCCTGTGAAGAGACATACAATACATATTTAATTTTCTGACTGTACATTAGCTTTTCAGAGCATTTCTGCTATAAAATGTATTCATCTACACCATAGGTTCCCAAACTGGGGGGCATGAAGAAATTCTGGGGGGGGGGGGGAGACCAAGGCAACCCAGCACTCCCCCCCCATAAGTTTTGCTGCTATTTTTGTTTTTTGGCCCCTGTCAGTTCCTCTTCCCCCCCCCAACAAGTTTTGCTGCTATGGGGTGTGTGTGTGGGGGGGGGGGTTCTCAAAAATAAAAAAAGGAGGCGTGATGCCGAAAAGTTTGGGAACCACTGATCTACACAGTAAACATTTAGGTCAAATCATACAGGCTGCAGTTCTAAATATTAGTAGCATGTCCAGTTGTATAATTTGAAGAACCCTGTACAAAATAGAGTCCTCACAGCAATCTCCATATATTCACGTGCACGTGACACAGTTCATCCGTGCTTTGGAACAGGATAAGAGAAGAGCTTAATTTTACTCTGCAGCTTTCCACAATGCCCTCCGATGGACAGTAGTAATGATCTCACCCCATCTCAAAAAACAAGACTGCAGAATTAGAGGGGGTTCAGAAAAGGATGACAATAATGATCCAAGAAATAGGGGGGAAAAAACCCTCTCATAAGACACCAAGAAGTTCTCTATGGTAAAACAGGAATTGCCTTGCTGGATTGGACCTTAGGGCCAATTCAGTATGGCAATTCCTATTTTACCATAGCTACATAAAAGTAGTAATGTTCTTTTGGAGGTGGCAATATATCTAATAATACTCATGAAATGTAACTGTGGACTGATTAATCCTTCCTCAATAGGAGATTCAATGCATCATAGCCATTACCTTAAGTGTCATACTGACCTTTGTTTTATGTATATTTTTGAATTTTCCACAACACTTGATTTGTTCTTTAAATGGAAATCTGTGCTCATCATGCAAAAGTTCACTACAGGATATACCTCCAAAAATCGGCACTCTCTGGTCCGGCAGTATCTATTGTCCAGCAGGGCCACGGATGTCCCTGGACCAGAGAGTCAGGAGCCTAAGGTCAGGAGGGTCGGCCAGGGTAATAGAGTCAGCAGCCTGGCTGGGGGCAGCCCTCGGGCCAGGGCCTTGTAGCAGCCTGCTGGAGTCCAGGGCTGTGCCACTGCCCCTGTGTGCATGGGGCTGGGGCCCTCTGGCAGGAGCCAGAGCCTCTGCTGCCCAGGAAGCTGGCAGTGTCTGGACAAGCAGCCAAGCTAGGCTGGGGGGTGGAAGAAGAGGAGGCAGGATCAGCCAGATTGGGAGTCAGAGGAGGCAAGGCAGCAGGCGATGGTCTTAAGAGACAGTGACAGGAGACCTCCCCCTGGTCCAGCAAATACTCTCATTTTCGACCAGTTAGGTCCCAACAGTGCTAGATGAGAGAGATCCAACCTGTATCATTAATCCACTAAAAATGACTGTTACAGTATTGATTTTGGGTTGTATTTTATGAAGTGTAAGCAATCTTCTCCACCAATTTATGCCAATATTAATTCAGAGCTTTTATTTTTAAAGCATAGGAGAAACCTAAATGTTCTCTCAATTACTAGAATAAAATGGCTTACAACTGCTCTTATGTTCAATATATGCTAAATAATATGACATGGAGAGCAATCAGGATGTAGTCAAAGATTATTCCATATCTACTGCTGAAACTAGAGTTCTAGCTTCCACTTTCTACAAGCATCGCATTTTCTCAAGGATATCGAATTTAGTGTTAAACATGTTTCTAGCAAAGGAAGATATTTTGAAGGTTGCTAATCAGTTTTGTCAATTGATACCATAAAAATAGTATCCTTACTTTCTTTTGAATGCTAGTTGATTATGATAGTTCCTATTACAAACAGATCCCATTTAAGGTTCATGGTGAGACACAAAAAGAACTCAAACAACAAACATGAAATTACCTCTTTTTAAACAGGTTATGTATTTGAGGAAAACATTTACAAGTTCTAGCGTATCTAAACAGATACCTGATTATTATTTACCTTGAAGGGAATTCTCTTCCATTTCATTCTCAATGGTGCAAGTACTTGGTTTTTCACTAGCTGATATTTTGTCTTCTGAGACAGAAAAATATTCCGATGCACTGCTACAGTCACTTAACATAGATGTTTGACTTAACTCTTCTATGTCAGAGTCTGAATTATTTAGTATTTCATCTTCTTTACCTACTGCTTGTGCTGAGCCCTCTAAAAACGTTTGATCACAAGTCACGGGAGTAATACAAGCTGCATTCTGTAACAGAGTCTCACGTTCATCTTGCTTCCTAGAAATCTCTTCTAAATCTCGGTGTGACTCAGAGGTTTCAGCAATATTTATATTGTCTTCAACTTTCACATCTGTATTAGGTTTAGTTGATGCAACACCAGGATCAGTGGAAAATATAATGCTTTCTTTACTAGGAAGGACATCTAAAAATAGGGAGCTGACTACAGCTGGATCACAGAAAGACTTTTGTTGAGCAAGAGTGTCTTTAGATTCAGTCTTCATAGACACATCCAAAGAAAAAGAATTGCTACTCTTTGGATTTGTAAGTTCAGACATGACCTCTGTACATGCAAGAAGTGTAGGTTTTTCTAGAACCGAATGAGCTTTGTCAATTGATTCTACTTTCATTTCTTCACTTTCATTATTAGATAAAAGCAACATTGAAGAAGAGGTACTTTTGAAAGTGCCTTCAAATGAGGTTACAGGTGAAGATTTACATTCTGGAATACAATTATTTGATGAGAAGGAAAATATGTCATTATAGGGGAGAGACTGGGTCTTGGAAACATTTTTCTTCTCAGTTGCACCACTATATATTTTGCCACCTGTAGCAGCAGTGCAATTTGAGGTACTGGCACTTGGCTCCTGCAGGACAACTGTAGGAGATTTTAGCCAGTTACATTCTATGTCTTTGCTTACAGAGACAGTCTCATTTCCTGTTTGAAATATTGTACTTTGTTCAGTTGGCTTTTCAGATAAGCTGGAAAATGGTGAAATCTTCAATGAATTGCTCAATTTAGAGACTGTAAAACAATCTCTTTCTAAATTACTAAAGGTAAATGAAAAAGCTGGCTTTCTATTTTCTGCTGACTCTAGTTTAGGACTTGTAGAGGCAGAAGAAGCTTTAGTATCAGTTAAAGCTGAAAAGTTAAGCTCTGTATAATTTCCATTTTGTTTATCCATTTTATCTTGAGTATCACATCTTCCCATAAAAAAACTGGGGAAACCCAAATTATTGAAAGAATATGTATCTGCAGTGTTAATTAAATTGGGTAATGCTGAATTAATACCTAAATTGGGGATAAAATGTGGAGCTAAAAGGCTCTCTGCAGAAGCACCTAAAAAGGTTGAATTTGAAACAGTAATTGGTTTTGTTGCTGATTTTAATAAGCCAGGTGAAGTGCCAGGATTTGTTAGCGTTTTCATAGAAATAGGAACCCGTGATGTTTGAGCCACATTTACTTGGTTTTTAATTAGCAAGTCACTAGAATTTTCTGTTGAGGAGGTTAGTTTGCTTACTTCTGGAGATCTTGTTCCATTAAATAACTTCAAGTCACTGTTTAATTCAGAGAAATTCCAGTTCATAGGTAGAAAGCTGAAACTGCAACTACTGGAATTGGAAAAACTAGTGTTACTAAAACTTCCTTTTTGTAATTTTTGTGTTTTTATTCTCTGTGCCTCTTTCACTTTGGGAGATGAGGACAGAAGGGAGACTGCTGAATCATTGTTTGCAAATATGCACTTTGTATTTGCAGGTGAAGTTTGTGTCTTCAACATATCTGATTTCTGATGAACCATATAATAGTTATAACGTACTTCCTACAATTAAAGAAAAATCAAATTATTTAGCATAAGGGAAAGCAGTCAAATTTGAATGTTCTTTTATTATGTTCATTTGTTGTGCTTTTAAGTTCTCAGACTACTTCATTTACTTAGAATATTTTACTTACAAAAGGTGAGAAAAATATAGCTGTTTAGATTAGAAGAAATCTATTACAATTTTAAAAGCGAAATATTTAAGCAACCTAATTACAACCAAAATCCATAGTCATTAATTGACACACATACCATTGAAGTAATTAGTACATTTCTGTAAGCACAAAGTAATGTACTTAGCAATCCTGATAATAGCAATAATTAAATGTTTAAGGTGCAAGAAACTTCTAGAATTGTTCTGAGACGAATGAAAACCTAAAATCGAATATAGTACTTCTGTCCAGGGTAAATGATTTTTAAAATTTATATTTTCTTAGTCACATTAAGGTACATAACTCTTAAAAACTTATCTATGGTAACAAGTCAAAGGATGATTCATTTTATGTCTACAAAACGCAAATGCCTCTAACTCTCCATAATATGGAACTGCAGAGGCACTGTTTATGGAAGGCCAAAATAGCTTTCGATGGACTTCAGAGGGAAGATCTTTTTAAGACATTTTTGGCTACAGAAGGAAGATGGACATGATAAGGATGTTAAAATGCAATTAATTGACTAGTCAATGGGCACTTGTACATTTCAAAGGAGGAACGTGGAGCTCCACATACAGCCCCGGGGCCAGCGGGAAGTCCCGCTGACTCTGGGCTGCATACTTTGAAATGCACAAGAGTCCCCAGCGGGATCCCCTGCTGACTCCGGGCTCCATGCTACGTTGCATGCTGCTAGGAGCCCAGGATCAGCTGGGGAGTCTTCTGCTGATCCTGGGTTCTCGAGTTCCCTGTGGCATTTCAGCTCCTCAAGGATCAGCTGTTCGGCAGCTGTCCCTTTAAACCACACACCCGTGCGATTAAAAAAGGGGCAGCTGCCTGCATCAGCTGGGTTCTGGGGAAATGCTGCGGGAAGCCTGGGGCCAGCGGGGTGACTCTGAGTCCCCCGCTGATCCCGGGCTCCATGGCTTTGAAATGCACAACAGCTCCCACTGGAGACTCTTGTACATTTCAAAGAAAGTACCTACATGCAGTCCGGAGTCAGTGGGACTTCCTGCTGGCCCCCAGCTGTATGTGGAGTTCCGCATTCCTCCTTTGAAATGTGAAAGTGCCTCTCGAGTAGTCAAACTATCCAATAAGCAAATGTTTTATCGGATAGTTGACTAGTTTTTAAACATCTTTACTAGGGATGTTTACACATGCTAGTTAATGTGTAACTGCAGGAATTTTTAGCAGTTACATATTTATATGCAGGGAGCAACAAGGAGCCCCCTACTTCCTCCGCCACCCCCTCCTCCCCAGCTTCCTCTGATAAAGAGGAAACAGGTCAGGGGGCAGGCTTGAAAGCTGCTTCCCACGTGTACTGGCTCCCATCTGTGCCCTCTCTCCTGCCTCTGTGAGAGGCAGTGGGGGCAGGGGAAGAGGATGTGGGAGCAGGTGGTTGTGGAATCTGGCACATACCTGGGTTTATCAGTTAAATTGTGTAATGACAACATGCTGACACCCCTAATATCAACACAGACTATTAACCATTTCTCAGGAAAAAATGAGGTATATATTCTTTCACATGCTCCAGTGGGTAGCCGAGTTAGTCTGTACAGGATAAGCTTGAAAAACAAAAAATGGTCTGGTAGCACTTTATAGACTAACAAAACATGTAGATGGTATCATGAATTTTTGTGGGCACAGCCCACTTCTTCAGATGACTGGAGTTTTGAGTTTAGGAGGAGCAGACTCAAAATAAATAAGGGGGAAGGAAATAAAGGGGGGAGGGGAATAAGGAGTAGAGGTTATGAAAAAAAATCAATGGGAAAAAACAGGAAGGCAGAAGGGTCATCAGTAAGCACATGAAGATAGGCCAGTTAAAACAAAGCAGATAAGGATCAAAGTCAATAGATAGGGAGGGTTACTAACACAGGAATCTACACAAAGAGCTGTTTGCACCTTCATTGAATGTTAGATTGGTAATGGCCCAGCCACCCCTCATCCTGATTGAGTCCATTATTCTTTCACATGTTTGATCACAATATCTTTGACTGAAACTGGGCTTACCCTGTCTTTAAATATGGACCACTTGGACTTCAAATGTGGCCAAAAAAAATGTTAGCCTCTCAAACCCACTTGGACTTAACAATCCATAACAGTTCTTATAAATAAGGACTAGCTAGATTGTAGGTGGAGTTCTACATTTAATCTAAGAATTAAAGAAAAATTGTGCAGAGGGAGTGTCATGAAGTAGGTCACTGATATGTCAAAATACCAGTTTAGCATAAGAGGAGTGGAGGGGGGAGGAGAGAAGCAAGTCCATTGTACATTGCAAGAAAAGTAAGAGACTGTGACGATACAAAACAATGTTTGGAAAAATTTGGAAGAAGGTTAATTAGTAGGTGAGCAATATTTACACTAAAATGCATTCTTACCTCATGACTCATGTTCTGAAATGTTGACATGCCTGATATTGACATTAAGTGGGTACAGACATTACCACCACCAGTCAAAGTTTCCTCATGTCCCACTACAGGCTGAAAAAAGTTGCATCAGATGTTTGACTTTATCAAGTCCAATAATGAACAGAGAACATATTTAACCATTAAAAAAGTGTATTAATTCTTGTAAACAAGAACTTACATAAAACACGTTGTGTATGTTTTTCTGATCTTTGCAATGTTTTGCACTATTTTTACATACGTTTTCAGTTAAACTTTCATTTCCTTCAGAAATAATTTCTGTGAAAAAGAGGAATAAAAGTAAGATTGATCTAAAAAAACCGTTTGACATACACATGTATGTGTATAAACTCAGGTATAAACTTAAAGCTATGAAAGAGGGGCAGCTAAAAAAACTTCCATTTTACAAACTGAACTGTGCTTTAATATAAAATTAAAACCTATTGTAGTAAAACAACTAATTTATTTTAAACATCTATGTGTTGCAAAATAACGAGTTGAGCACGATGTTCAAAATATATGCATTTTTTTCTACCTTTAACAATGCATGAATCACCCAAAGTCAACTGCAAGGCCAAGATTTCATTAACAACAGATTTGATATCCATTTGCTTTTGGGTAGACTCCGGCACCTTTTCATAGCTAGATGCTATGTGCATCAGGTCTAGCTGAGTTTTCATTCTGGAAAAAAGTGAAAAAATCCTTTAAAACAACTATTTTTGTTTCTCTTGGCAAAACACTGTAACTTGATTCAAAATAAAAAGTTAGATAAATTCATGGAAAATAGGTCCACCAATGGCCATTAGCCAGGATGGGCAGGGATGCAACTCCATTCTGTGGGCATCTCTAAGCTTCTGACTGACAGATACTGGGACTGGAACAGGGGGATGGATCACTTGATTGTCCTATTCTGTTCATTCCCTCTGAAGCACCTGGCATTGGCCACCATTAGAAGACAGGATGTCAGGCTAGATGGACCACTGGTCTGCCAATACGTCCTTATTTTCTTGGACAAGATAGTATTAATGATGTTTTAGGACAGCATTTACCTCATTAATGCATCAAATTTGATGCATTAATAAGCATCTAAAATGATTACTTTGAACTCCACTATTATCTATTCACCAATAAATCTATCAAAGTAATGTCAAATATTAATAAGGCTAATCACTGTTCAAAGTTCTTCTATGAGCTTCCCATATTAATCAATCCACTGCATTCCCTGGACACTCCTTTCCCAACCCTGCCCTCATCATATGAATATTAAATTAAACTTACTTTGCTGTATCTGATTGCCTTAGCTATACACTAACAAACCATAACTACAACTCAAGAAACACATGTACCTTTTATTCAAGCCACATGCCACCTGTAATTAAAACAAAGCTGTATTAGAGTTAAGGATGTTATTTAAAAATCAAACAATTACTTTCCCAGAGTATTTCACAAAATTTATCAATTAAACTTGATTAAAAAAATCTTCAGTTTCACCAAAAACGTAACTGGAGCTTTTAGCTTTCACAGGAGTTTTAAAAAAGCAGCAATCACACAGAGAGTGTGTGTTCATCTAGGAAAAATTACTTGTTATGAGGTCAAAGGAACCGGTTTCATAACATTCAAGACATACAAGACTAAGAGCTTGCCTGCACTTGAAAGGAGAGGTATCAGCTAGGTTGATGGAAGAATTCCAGCACTGTCTAAACTGAGCCCAACCGCAATACTCAGGGGTGTGGAATTTTCATACCCTCCCATGCAGAAAAAGTTCCTTTGGCCTGGTCTATGCTAGACGTACCTATATCATTCAGGATAACTCACTCCCTGCAGGGAAATGATTTCTAGAGCACACTAGTTGGTCCATGAAGACCCTGCTGGTACACACAAAAGGCTACCTCGGGTACTTCCAACATAAAACAGATATAAACAACTATGTTAAAACACACCAAGGAGTACCTACACAAGGCAATTAATGCACATTAGTGGGCATTGGAAATCACATCCAATAGAGTGCAATACATTGTCATGTAGATAAGTCCAGACAGAGTTCCCAAAATCATAAAAGTTTTGGTCACTAAAGATAGGTATGGCATTTTAAAATGCAGCTACTTGACCCACCACACTGCTTGAGAGTATATGACTCACAGGAGTTTAATTAACCACCTCTCTAAGTGCTTTCTAATCAGTTCCTGACTGAACTGGAAATGAATGTTCTCCAAAGAAAGTAAGTAACCACAAAAATTCAAGTGACCTACCATCACATCAAAATAAGGCTCTCTTCTAAACTCTGAAGGGAAATGAGAATCCTATCAGAATTACCCCTTCAGAGAAGCAGATTACAATACAATATCTAAACAGAATTTGCCTTGAGTTTAAGTAGCTCCAGGGAAGTCCCAAACGGGGCATGCATGTTACATGTACACATAGTGTTCTAATGTTCTGCAATTAAGAGACAAAATAAAAGTTATCACCTCAAGGAAATGCTCAGGATCACATTCATCAACAAGTTTTTCGCAATCCTTCAGAAAACTTTCAATGGTTTTCTTGTTAGTTTCCTTCATTTTCTTCCAAATTTGATATTCTTTCTCTTTCTGATTTCTCTGACTTTCAATGTCTTCTAGCAATTCTTTTTTTCTCATTTCCAGAGTTTTGAAAATGTCTTCAAATGCCAACATAATTATCTCTGCTTCTTTGTTCAAGGTCTAGAAACAAAGTACAGTAATTACTCATTTAACACGTGGCTGCTTAACACGTTTTCGTAATAGCACACTATTTTTTGAGGGAACGTTTTTCAAAAAACACAAAAATAATCAAGTGGTGGACTATTTCGTGGGGCGGTATAGTTGGTGCAAACAGTGGTAATACACATGAGCGGATGAATACACGTGGTCACAGTGCTCCTCCGCACACTCACGTGTTTATCTTTCTGTTTTAACAAACCGCAGCGACTTGTGTTGCTAGATATCTAATGTTGATGTTGACGACCTAACACCAACAAAAAATTGACTTTGCCACCACCATCTGAAACACAACCTCCACCTTTTCCATTATTTTTAATAGGAAAATTGACCCCGCATAGCACGTTTTCGTTTAGCACGAACATTCTCAGAAAAGCATCTGTAGCGTTAAATGATGAATTACTGTATTTTGCATGAAGATCTGATAACAGTAATTCTTTACACTGTGTCATTAGAATTACTATAGGAATAGTTATAAAATTCAAGTTATTTTCTTAAACCAAACAGATTTGTTTTCCAGTTTGTGGTTAGTTGGAAGAAGGCCCTAATTAGCAAATAAAAGGAGGCTGGGAAAATAATGAGTTATAAAACCAGAATGTAACGTGGGATGCAAAACTAAATTAATAAAACACCCAAGAAGAAAGCACACAATTTCCCATTGTTCTACTGGTAAACTCATAGGAGGGGAAATTATAAAATGGAAAGGCCGGGGGGGAAGGGGCGAGGAGGAAGGGGAAGTGAATTTTGTCAAACTAGGTTTTGTTAAAGTTAGCAAATGAACAATGAAATTCTTTGCTGAAAGAGAGAAAAAGCCATAAATCTGGGCATTCTTTATCAGCTCTAATTCAATTTTGCTGGAAAAAAAAAATCAAGATGAGAGGACTATTCTCTGGTCTGGTCATTTTGTAAGTAAGAGCTACAGATACAGGTTGAAACTTTCTTAATCGGAAATCTCTAGTCTAGCAATAGCCATGGCCTGGCATGGAGGTTACAGGATCCAGAGAGTCCTAGTGGCGAGCCAGCAGGGAGCTGCCTGTGGAAGCCCCGACATGTGCAGATGCCAACAAGCTGGTAGGGCAGTGGGGTGAAGGAGGCAGGGAGTGAGCTGGGAGGACAGAGGCCCGGCCAGGGGTGCCAGTGGCAAGGGTCTAAAAATTACCTCCAGTGCAAAATCCCTCATTTGGGACCAGTCAGATTCTGAGGGTGCCGCACCAAGGAGGTCCAACCTGTACTTAGAAATGTTTTGTTACTATAGTGGAGGTAATAAATTGTTTTTTTTTGGAAGACATGTCTGAAGTAATTGTATAAATACTATTCAACCTTTGGATTTAATAAAAATGTCTGATATGTTATTGTCTAATGGTACCCCACATTAATAATATTCATAAATACCTCATACTCCCTCTGAGCATTTTTAGCAGAACAGTTAAACATACAAACATCCACAGGAACCTTATCTCTTATGGATTTACACCACGGCTACCATCAGTGAAAATGCTAAATGTCGGGGTTAGTGCAGACACAGCAGCAGCGCTAAGTATGTAATGACATACACAAGCCACTCATCTATGGAAAGGAAAAGGTATTTTACATTATATTTTCATATTAACACAAATAACTGTTCTTAACTAATTTTGGGGTGCAGAGTTCAAAAATTATATCCATTTTTGCCCATGATGTACAGATTTTCTGAAAACTTGGGTCTACTTTTTCAAAAATGCTATTGTGTGTTTTACATTACATTCAGTGACTTATTTTCAAGAACTTGCATGCAAAAATACCTCAAATTAATTGAATTTGTCAAAATAAATGCCATCTAGCTTAATTTAGTTAAAAAGGATTGCCAAATTATTATATTATATATTATAGGAGTAACAAAACAGAATGGTTTCATTGTTTTATATTTTGAAGAATATTTACAACTGTATTTTCTGCATTTTTCTGCATTTCTTCTGCATTTTTCAGGTAATTCCCTAACATGGGGGATGATCCAGAGAAGCAAAGACAGAATATAACAGATTTTGTTAGAAACGTATATCACACCTACTTTAGTATAAAACTTAGGGATCAAGACTTTGGAACAGAACTGCCACAAATGTAACAAAATATGTCTGGATCATTCATACAACCTCGAGATGCCCTGTTAGGGGATTACCTGAAAAATGCAGAAGAAATGCAGAAAATACAGACATAAATATCATTCAAAACATAAAACAATGAAACCATTCTCTTTTGTTACTCCTATAACATATACTATAATAATTTGGCGATCCTCTTCAACAAAATTAAGCTAGATTGTATTCATCAAAATGAATGCTATTATTTGGAGGTATTTTTGCATGCAAGATCTTGAAAATAAGTCGCTGCATATAGTTTTAAGTTCTTGAAAATAATTATTTTCCTGAAAATCTTGAAGTGTCAGTGAAGAGCAAGTGGAAAGATTTCATCAGGATATCAAGATGATGGAAAAGAGATATCAAGGAAGCTGGGATGTCAACATGATGGCTGATTACTGCTGGTTCCTAAAAAGAGAGACTGATGGTGAAATGCATAAAAAGTTGTCAAAAAAGCATTGATTCAGTCGCATCTAATCATTTAAAATTACTCAGTTGTTAAATGTCACACTTTGTTCATTTGTTCTTTAAACAATGACTTACAACAGACCTTCTAAAAGAACTATAACTTGCTATTTACCAAGTTTTTAATGCATAAGGTGGAATAAAAAGCATGAAAAATGTCCATTTTTTAATTTTTGATTTGTGAAAAATCCATACGTGATAGTGCAAAATAGATGCCATTTTTTAAATCAGCATAGCAAAATTATGTAAAGTCACCTATTTTTATCAAAAAAGCTGAAACTTTGTTTCAATTTGCAGACCAGTGTATTTTGTGGATTAGGAACCAATCTTACCAAGTTCCAGAGGCCACTGTACATATTTAAATTAATCTTCCAATTTTAACCAATGGGACTCAGTGCTCAGTCTAGAAGGTACCATCAGATATGCTTAGTTTTGCAGTTCTTAAACTATGGATTTGGATCTCCAGAGATAACATGCTTGTTAACAGTAAAAATGTTTTAAAATAATAAATGATATATAGAGGTGAGAATAACAGATCTTGACCCTATTGTGCCTCTGCAAATTTGTGTGCATTAACTCTCTCAAAGTACAAAGTTTCAAAAAGTTCAATGAATAAGATGATTGTTGGGACAGAATAGATCTGAACAAGGAGGAGAAGTCTGGAAATAAACGTGAGAAGGGACAGTCTGTTAGAGCAGCATATTTCAGAAATCTCAAGGTCTTTCTGAGCATAGCCTTCATTGATTTGCGATATACCATACCATTCTCTAACTAAAAGGGAAAACCTATAACTGCAGCAGGCTGTAAAAGAGAGCCCATCTGGGAATATTTTAATGAAGTTCCTCTATCTTATCTGGAGGTACGAGGGGCATGCTTTAGGGATGTTAAATATTGGTTAATTGTATAGTCGATTAACCTCATGAATTCTTATTGATTATTCAACTATTTTATAGTCCCCGAGGGTGGGGCTGGCAGCCAGTGCAGTCTGTAGCAGAAGCAGCAGCATGGGGTGCCAAGAAGGGATCTTAAGGACTAGTTGACTAGTCAACTATCCGATAAGCATTCGCTTATTGGATAGTTTATCAACTAGTAGATTCCGCCCCCCCCCCCCTTGCTGCCTCTGATATAGAAAGAGTACTGCAAAGGAGCAGCTGCCGCAGAGCTGATCCGCAGTTCAGCTGTGTGGCACTGCCCCTTTAAAATGCCAAAGCACCGTGGAGCCTGGGGTCAGCTGGGGACTCCCCAGCTAAACCCAGGTTCTGGGGAAATGCCACTTGGAATGCGGTGGCGGCGTTTTAATCGGGCAGAGCCATGGAGCCTGATGTCAGCTGGGGATTCCCCATCTGATCCCAGGCTCCCCACAGCATTTCCCCAGAACGCAGGGTTAGCTGGGGAGTCCCCTGCTGACTCCGGGCTTCATAGAGCTACCTCTATGAAACGCCGAGATTGAAATTCACACACAGCAGAATTCTTATCAGTAGAAGCAGTAAAAGCTGTAACAAACTATGAAAAACATTCAAATGTCTAGTATGCAGCTGATGATATTTTAAGAAAGTCACAGATAATGCTGCAAACATATCCAAGATGAGAAGAAATTTAGAAGACAATGAAGAGAGTCTCAAGCTAATAACATACAGCTTCAGTGCTCATTTGATGAACCTCTTAACCAAAGACTTCAGTGTTCTATAATCAAGGCTCATTTGTTGAAATTGCAAAATACTTCATTAATAACCACTATCAAGGAGCTGCTCTGAAAAAAGTAGGAGGAACAAAGTTAATTCTCCTACAAGGCATGCGATGAAACCCAGTAGTATATTGTTTTGAGCACTATAATCAAGAACTGGCCTAATCTCATGTGTGTGAACAAAACTGAAAAAATAGAGAGCCTTGTCATTGCCAAAGTTCTCAACGTTGGGTTTAAGAGAAATGTTGAGCACGTGCCGAGTATTCTGAAACTGATTTCTGTAACCTTGAACAAAATGCAGAGAAATAGCTGTTTTATTACTTATTCTGTTGAAATTTGGAAGGAACTAAGATTTTTAAAAAGAGAACTATGAGTTAAATTACACGCATTGAAAAAAAATGGGACAAACACTACCACAGCGCATTTTCTTGCTCAGTATTAAGATAAAATCTTAACTGCTGAAGAAAAGGACTTTGATATGACATTAGCATCCAGCCATCAAAATAACTGCCAACTATAATACATTTCAGAACTAGGAGTAAACCATTCAAGAAATAGGTTTGCTGATTATATTTTAAAGAAAGTCATTTAAGCACTTGGATTCAGAGATGATTGAACTGATATTTTCACTTAACAGCAGTGCCTTCTTCTGCCAGAGTAGAAGAATATTTTCTTCCTTTGGACAAATTCATACCAAATTAAGAAACTGTTTGGGACATGAAAAAAGAGGAAAGTTTGTTTTTCTTTTCCAGATTATGAACAAACAGGAAAATGAAACTGAAGACAACTAAGTTAGCTGCAGAATAAGGATGTTAAGAGGCAGGTAATTCACTAATCATGTAGTCTATACAATTTTTATTGACTACACGATTACCGGTAGTCAATAAGGGAAGACTTCCTCTGTCCCAGCTCGTGCTGCGTCCACCAGCCACTGTCCACAGGAGAGAATTCGCTGGGACCATTGTGGACTGAGCAGCCTCCCTGTTCACCTCCCCTCACACTGCTGCCACAGGAGAGAGGGGGCAGGGATATGTGGTATCACAGATGCAGTGCTGGGAGAACAGACTTAAGTTGGCTTAAAATGTTTAACTACATTCAAAAATGTATACTTTTTTAAATATTATGTTTGCTGTTAGAGAAAAACAAAAAACATATCGCTATAAAACTAATCTAAAAAGTTTTCCAAATAAACCACTGTTAAAAAATACATAGCATGTACCTTCTAACACACAATAAAGAGAAAACTTATAAAACAATATAAAATGACTATCTTACCCTGTTCATGAGCAGTGAATGCACGGTAAGTTTTTCATTTTATGTTGTTTTATAAGTTGTTTTCATTTTTGGGGGGTGTTTTGGGGTTTTTTTTGCAAATGCAAAACACAAAAACAAAAAAACCCACCCCCAAAACCAAAACCCCACTACTGTAGAGATGTCATTTTGTACAACTTACCTCAGCATCTTTTGGACAACTTGATAATTCCTTCACCAGATTCTCATTAATTACTCTCAGTTTCTTCAGGCTGCTAAAGAAGGCTAACTGCAGGAGAGAAGTTTATAACCACTTAAGTCACATTCAATTTTTTTTTTAAATCTACATTATATTCTTTAATTATAGCCTGTCTATAACCTGCACAGAGTTTCACTATTGGTACCTTACATAAAGAGTTTCCATGTTTTAAGGCAATGAAGAAACTTGCATTTGTCATTTTTCCTCTCTTATGTGGCCTTCTTCAGGCTTGTCTACAGAAGAACATTTTGCTGTTTTAACTAGGGATGTGAATGTATAACTGGTGAGGAGTCCTGTGGCACCTTAGACTAACTGAAGTGTAGGAGCATAAGCTTTCGTGGGCAAAGACCCACTTCGTCAGATGCATGTATCTGACAAAGTGGGTCTTTGCCCATGAAAGCTTATGCTCCTCCACTTCAGTTAGTCTATAAGGTGCCACAGGACTCCTCGCCGCTTTTGCAGATTCAGACTAACACGGCTACCCCTCTGATACTTGTGTAAATGGTAACGCTCATGGGTTAACTTTCATGGTGCACACAAGCTCCTGATGCACACGGGGAGTCGATTTAAAAGCCAGCTTCTGGTATTCACCAGTTTCCAAGGATACAGAGGCAGCAGTGTGGGAAGCCAGCTTACAAGCTGGCTCACCACATGCACCAGCTTCTGGGGCACTGATTGCCACCCCACTGTAACCAGTTAAAATTTCAGCTGTTATATGATTTCTTAATTACACACATTTTAACATCCCTGGCTTTAACTACAACAGTACAGTTAAACCCTAGGTCAAATTGCACATTCCTCTTTTCCTGTGCTGAGGAAACACTGCCCTCGCACCTTTTACTTCTAGCTGGGTTCCCATAGTTTAAACTGCAGAACAGCCACAGTGCCATATGGTGTACTATGCCCTATACCCATCCCATGTACCAGGGACATTTTGCAAGTACACTGAAATTGCAGTATAAAGAGACCATAAGAACATAAGACCGGCCATACTGGGTCAGACCAAAGGTCCACCTAGCCCAGTATCCTGTCTGCCAACAGTGGCCAGCGCCAAGTGGACTGAACACAATGATCAAGCAACTTGTCACCTGCCATCCATCTCCAGCCTTTGACAAACAGAGGCCAGGGGCACCATTCCTTATCCCCTGGCTAATAGCCTTTTATGGACCTAACCTCAATGAATTTATCTAGCTCTTTTTTAAACTCTGTTATAGTTCTAGCCTTCACAGCCTCCTCTGGCAAGGAGTTCCACAGGTTGACCATGCGCTGTATGAAGAAGAACTTTCTTTTATTAGTTTTAAACCTGCTACCCATTAATTTCATTTGGTGTCCTCTACTTCTTATATTATGGGAACAAGTAAATAACTTTTCTTTATTCACCCTCATCACCTCACTCATGATTTTATATACCTCTATCATATCCCCCCTCAGTCTCCTCTTTTCTAAACTGAAAAGTCCCGATCTCTTTAGCCTCTCCTGATTTGGAACCTGTTCCAAACCCCTAATCATTTTAGTTGCCCTTTTCTGAACCTTTTCTAATGCCAAAATATCTTTTTTGAGGTGAGGAGACCACATCTGTATGCTGTATCCAAGATGTGGATGTACTGTAGTTTTATATAGGGACAGTAAGATATTCTTCATCTTATTTTCTATTCCTTTTTTAATAATTCCTAGTATCCTATTTGCTTTTTTGACTGCTGCTGCACAGAACTAGCCAGGATAACTCCAAGATCTCTTTCCTGATTAGTTGTAGCTAAATTAGCCCCCCATCATATTGTATGTATAGTTGGAGTTATTTTTTCCAATGTGCATTACTTTTCATATATCCACATTAAATTTCATTTGCCATTTTGTCGCCCAATCACTCAGTTTGGTGAGATCTTTTTTAAGTTCTGCTTTGGTCTTGATTATCTTGAACAGTTTAGTATCATCTGCAAACTTTGCTACCTCACTGCTTACCCCTTTCTCTAGATCGTTTATGAATAAGTTGAATAGGATTGGTCCTAGGACTGACTGTTGGGGAACACTAATTACACTTCTCCATCCTGAAATTTTACCATTTATTCCTACCCTTTGTTTCCTGTTTTTTAACCAGTTCTCAATCCATGAAAGCATCTTCCCTCTTATCCCATGACAACCTAATTTACACAAGAGCCTTTGGTGAGGGACCTTGTCAAAGGCTTTCTAAAAATCTAAGTATACTATATCTACTGGATCCCCCTCGTCCGCTCGTTTGTTAACCCCTTCAAAGAACTCTAATAGATTAGTAAGACATGTTTTCCCTTTACAGAAACCATGTTGACTTTTGTCCAAGAAATTATGTTCTTCTACGTATCTGACTATTTTATTCTTTACTATTTTTTCAACTAATTTGCCCGGTACTGACGTTAGACTTACCAGTCTATAATTGCCAGGGTTGCCTCTAGAGCCCTTTTAAAAATATTGGCGTTATGTTAGCTCTCTTCCAGTCCTTGGGTACAGAAGCTGATTTAAAGGATAGGTTACAAACCATAGTTAACAGTTCTGCAATTTCACATCTGAGTTCTTTTAACTCTTGGGTAATGCCATCCGGTCCCGGTGATTTGTTACTGTTAAGTTTTTCCAGTTTGTTCCAAAACCTCCTCTAATGACACTTCAATCCGGGACAGTTCCTGAGATTCACCCACAAAGGACAGTGCAGGTTTGGGAATCTCCCTAACATCTTCAGCCGTGAAGACTGAAGCAAAGTAACCATTTAGTCTCTCCACAATGGCTTTATCATCCTTGATTGCTTCTTTTGTAACTTGATCCTCCAGGGGCCCCACTGCTTTTTTTTAAAGCAGGCTTCCTGCTTCTAAAGTACTTAAAAAACTTTGAGTGTTTGGCTAGCTGTTCCTCAAAATCTTTTTTGGCTTTTCTTATTTCATTTTTATACTTAATTTGGCAGTGTTAGCGTGACTTTCTATTTACCTCACTAGGATTGGACTTCCACTTTTTAAAAGATGCCTTTTTATCTCTCACTTCTTTTACATGGTCGTTAAGCCACAGTGGGTCTTTTTCAGGTCTCTTGCTATGTTTTTTTAATTTGGGGTGTACAGGCAGTCCCCGGGTTACGTACAAGATAGGGACTATAGGTTTGTTCTTAAGTTGAATTTGTATGTAAGTCGGAACTGGCTCCAGATTCAGCTGCTGCCACTGAAACTGACCAGGGGCTGACTACAGGAAGCCGGAGGCAGAGTTGCTCTGCCCTCAGCTTCCTGGAATCAGCCTGATCAGTTTCAACAGCTGCTGAATCTGGAGCCTGGGACAGAACAGCTGGGGCGCTGCCGGGTAGGTTCCCACAGGACCAACCCGGCAGCACCCCAGCTGCTCTACCCGAGGCGTCCCGCAAAAAAAGCCTGGTCTGCTGGGGGGGAGGGGAGGAGCACTAGCTGCAGAGAGACCCCGCTGCCCGTGCGGCTTTGCTCCTGTCTCCCTGGGGTGCCGGGGGGAGGGGGC